CATCTGCAGCTCCTCTTGCATGAAACGTGTTGAACATGGATGACCATTGTTGTATTTGCATGCACATAAAAACTCTTGCACATCATCACCATTATCTTCTTGAAGTGAAACTGGTGGTAGTATCTCTGCTACATCTTCAATAATGGATATGGGATGGTCATCATCTGAAATGAGGAAGAATGAATAACTGTAAGACATATGTATTATATAAAAAGGCTGAACTACATTATTACTAATAATCAACATTGACAATCCATCACACAAGTATTTCACCATTGCAATATGTCTATGCCCATAAGACATAGGCTACTACTATAGTAGTACTACTATTATTACTCAAAATCATCATCATCATCATGATTAGATCATCATCACCATCATCATCATGATTAGATTATGTTGTTTGACAAGGTGCGACCAAAACGTTAACAATATGTTAAGGTGTAGCCTACTACTACAACTTGGCGTGTGTCTGTTTGCAGTGCTGTGACAGAGAGGAGGGGGTGTGTTTGTGCCCAACGTTGCTGCTCAGTCTGTGTGAGCTTCAGCTAGGCAGATACCCTAATAGGGTCACTGATCATGAACTTCACCGAGTCTATTAACCTGACGCTGATGCTACAGTCTGCTTCTCGAACATTAACATTAACGTTAAGTCTCCGTTTTAAACTCACATGTAAGCTGAACTTACATGCATAAACAGCCATAGTTTGTGGCTTTAATTTGAAGTTTTAAGCCTTCGTGTCGCCGTTCAAAAGAAATGTATAACGGGAAAATGGTAATGGATAAAGTTACTCTGAACGAACAAGATATTCCAGGGAACTTTCTAGCCTGTCAGGAATAGCACTAGGCTAACCTAAATCACGGTTAGCATTACACAAGGAGATAAGTTACCTGAGGGGGATGGCATTTTAAAATTAAGTAAATTGTTGTTGTTTTATCGTTTTATTACTGGTGCGGTCCCTGGATGTTTTAATTGTAACGTTATCCTTGTAGGTTTTCATAACAAGACTAGTCTTACACATTGGTCCTTTAAAATAGCAAGTGCACCTTGTATCTTACATTAAGAATAGCATAGCTAGCTTACCTTCATCGGACTCCTCTTCTTCGGTAAATTCATTATAATCCGATCCTTCATCATCTCTTGGATCTCTGGATGTGAAAAAATCCATGATCACGTCGTTCAGGGCATTGGCATCGCCAGGATTTACCAAATTGAGACATGCAGCATCATTTAAGTGAGCAGCTACCTCAGACTCCCTTCTCTTGAGCTCCGCCATCTCTGTAGACGCTCACATCCTCACGTAACGTTAACGCTAGGTTTATCAAAACATATCACATTGTTACAACGTATATCTGGCGGGAAAATGTGCATTGATATGATATGACTTCATTCATGTGGTTTAGGGCTTTGATTGGTGAACCGTCTTTGTAGTGTTTATAGCCTAGGCAAAGCACGTTGTGGGAGATTTTTATGCACCTCCGCCGTTCGCGGTTTCTAATGTAGGATCATCTTTCAGACAGCTTGGCCAATATAAATTAGTTTTTAATGTATAAAACTAGCGAATTTCACTTAGATATTTTCAGGAATTATAGACAAGATGTTATATAATAATAATTTAATGAAAACCCAATTTTGCCAAATAAATGACAATCGACCTATTTTTACTATTTCCTCGAAACGTGCCAGCGCGACATCCGACGGGTTTTCCAAGATCGCATCACATATATGTCTATGGTCATGGCAACCAGGGGAGGCAACAGCAGCTGCGCGCTTTTTCTCTGTCTCTCACTCCTAACCCTAACCCAGAGAGACAGAAAATCTCAAAATGAACCCCCTCCAACCATTAGCCAGGATTGATTGTGGGAGAAATGGTGCAACAAGCTCCTTTCAAAATTTCTCCTCTACAATTAACATGGGATTAGATGGGGCTGTGAGAGGGTGTTGCTGGCGCATCAGTGCGTTTCCCACCAAAACTATTTGTCTGACAGCTTCAGCAGTGTTATCACTGCGACCCCAACGGATTTACCTACGTTTCTATTTATAAATTATTTCTGTACAGTGACATTTGTGGCCTTGAGAGCAGTTTACAAATTTATTTTTCTCTCTCTCTACACTCTAGTGATAATGTCACGCACTCTAGTTGCCAGCATTCTACCAATACACACCCATTCATCTTTTTGGCCTGGTTTTTGGCGATTTATCGGCATACTGTTTGGTTAAACGCTTAGAAAAGTCATAGCACTAATGTCCCGGCCGAGCCGCATGTTTTGATTCCCTTTTGTGTATGTGCGACCAAAACTGTGGGAGGAGTAGTCGACCGAAAAACGACATTGGAGAGTAATGTCTGTTCACAGTCAAGCTTGTGAGCTGCATGCTTTGGTTGCTAGGCGACCAGGTCTAGAAATCGGCAGTTATTATCAGTTGGGCATTCTACTAGTAGACACCGATTCATTTTTTGGCCTGGTTTTTGGCGATTTATCGGCAAACTGTTTGGGGAAATGCTTAGAAAAGTCATAGCACTATTGTCCCCACCGAGCCACACGTCTTGGTACCCTTTTTGTGTATGTGCGACCGAAACTGCCGGAGGAGTAGTAGACCGAAAAATGTATGGAAGAATAATAAGTATGAGCAATAATAGTTGTGTGCTCTCCAAGCACACTAACTAAGGCCCAAGAGCTAAATCAGGAACTAAATGTTCGTTAAGTGCATTTGCACTGCTTATCAAAAACCAAAAAGATTAGACAGATTGATATGTTTAATCTTTACTGATGAGACACAACACAGATAAAAAAAAAATTGTAAATTACTGTTGTGAAACTATGTTGTCTTTGTTGGGAAAAAAGGACACCATACTTGCCAACCTTGAGAACTCAGAAATAGGAAATATTTTGAAACCAAAGCAGGGGGTCTGGGAGTCCTCCCCCCCAAAAAATGTAGTTTGTTTCTTTCATTCTAGTGCATTGTGAATGACAAAAACAAAATAATACGTACACTGCAACAGCAACATTTTTATGTTAAATACTTTTAATTCTCAGTAAAAAATACAGAACGATTCTGTGAACTTGTGTGATTGTGAATATTTCGCCCCTGTGTATCCTACTGCTCTCTTCCACTTCACGTGCATGCCAGGAAATGTGTAAAAAAACCAAAACAAAATCTGTGTAGGGGGTAGTATAGGAGTGTCCCGATAAAAAAGGGGAGGGTTGGTGAGTTGCAGAGGCGAAAAGCAAGATTAAAAGCACCAAAAGGGCAAGAAGTCCAATGTAATGATGATCTTCTGATTATTATTTTCATCTGTCACTTTGAGCTCTTTTTAATTTATCTTGATTCCCCATCTCTTTATTTTACTCATTCTTCATCCTGTTGGGAGATTACTCTTCGTGCTCCAAACTGAGTTTTAGCTGGTTTTGATATTTATCGATAATGGCCTGCATGCGCTAGGTACATGTAACATGTAAATATCAACACTAGTGCTTTCTGGTGCCCCTTTTTTAGTTTGGATAGCCAAACCTACAAGGAAATGGCATCATAATTGACCCTAAGTTCCCCCCCCTTTTTGCTCTGTACTCCAATAAAAGTTGAACAAGCCTCGGTCAGAACCTTGGTCAACTTTGTCCTTTCCTGTACTAAGATATGCTATGTGCTAGCCTTGTCCATTTTGAAAAGACAACCACATTTTGAAGATAATTTAAAGAATGTAGTCACATCTTAATTTAGCTGGCTAATGTTAGAAAAATGCAGACGACAACAACGAGAGGGGACAATGACCAGTGATTATAGTAATAATAGTAACTGTAGTACTAATAATAGTAATAATATCAGTAATATTAGCAATGGGAGTCAAGCAGGACCATGGCAGAAGGCTCCACCAGGATCCATGAGAACCTGCGAGACGAGAAAGCACAAGAACTCCAGGGAAGTTGGAGTGTTAGTAACAGTGAAGTTAGTAACATGCATTAATGGGACATGAATGTGTGCAGAAAGAGAGGGAGAGGATGAGAGGAGCTCAGTGCATCATGGGAAATCCGCTGATAGTCTGGGCCTATAGCAGCATAACTAAGGGATGGTTCAGGATTCACCTGAGCCAGCCCTAACTATAAGCTTTATCAAAGAGGAATGTCTTAAGCCTACTCTTGAATGCGGAGAGGGTGTCTGCCTACCGAACTAAAACTGGAAGCTGGTTCCACAGGAGAGGAGCTTGGTAACTGAAGGCTCTGGCTCCTGTTCTACTTTTAGAGACTATAGGAATCACCAGTAGCCCTGCATTCAGAGAAAGCAGTGTTGTAGTGGGGTAATAAGGTAACTAATCTACATCAGTTGTCACCTAGCTAGTTATAGCTGACACATTCAGTAGCCAAGAAGCGACATTAGCATTCATTTGGGGTGGTGTTTGTGTCCACAGTAAATGTGCCATAAAACCAAAAATGAGCTAAATGAGGCTAAAGCTACAGAGTTGATGATAATTCTTCATAGGTCTGTCAGTACAAAGGACTTGTCTCTATTTTGTTCCCCTGTTGTTTGAATATGCAGGTGGTTTATCACTTGACTGAATCACAGAAAAGGAACCAGAACATGAATAAAGATGCTGAAGAGGCTGTGTTCTAATGTTCAGGTATCTTGGTTTTTAATGAGTTGCCACTGTGTAAACTTGGGTGTTACTTTTAAGATAGCGCTTCAATTTCTGTGTTTATACTCGACAGAATACACAATAATGCACCACTCATCAGCCATGACTACATGAGTGTCACTAAGAACAAGTGAATGAATCTAGCATACAGGGAACGTTAAAGGAAAGGGGTTACTGATCACTCGAGTGACTTTGAACAAAGCAGCACTGCATCAGGGATCCATTGATTGATTTAAATAGCTGGTTATATAATTAAACAAAGACAAACTGACTAAGTGTTAGTCTTAGTTTGTTTTTGTGGAAACAGTTCTCTCAGCTGATCATAGGGAACAAAATAGATTTATTAACAGAAAAGCCTTTCTGCCCCTTCAGCATTCTAAAGGACGATTGGAGAGAAGGAGAGAAGCTGGACTAGTGGGTGACCAGCAGAGGCTGGACTATCATCTTATGCTGGCTTTTGGTGGTGGGAACTCAGTTATCATGGATACCATCTGTCCTTAAACCTTTAATTTGTTGTCAAAGAATGCCACATATAATTTTTTGTATCTTTCATATTGTATTGCACTCCAAGATATGATGGATTTCTTCTTCCAACGTCATTTCCGCCGTCTCCAAAAAAGAAAGAAGCATCCCACTGCAGTGCGTCCTGGTCCTGCTGTTCAGACCAGTAAAGCTAGGAGACGCTCTAGTGCTGGTTTGCCCTCTGTAGCATTAGTACAGTCCAGGCGCTCCTCCGTTGGTTTACCTCCAGTTTGTACTGACCAGCGCAGACGCCCGAGTGTTGGCTTACTGGTGGCCAGTGGACAGAAGCGACAGTCCATTATAGAGCTAGGATTAACAAACACAAGTGAAGTAGTTGGAGAATCAGGAAGAGGAGCTGAGAAAGCAGATGTAGCCATCAAGAGAGGAAGAAGAGGATTTCAGTATAAACCTCACCATGCTCGTGGCGCCTCACCCTGCGTACATCGTGGGCTGGCGGTGCGATATCGACGTCCTTCAAAAGTTAAATCAATTGAACCTCATTTACTTGGATCCTCTATGTTACTTGCGAGTTTAGTCCAGATGGGCAGAGGAGTTAAAGAGAATGAAGGGGAAGAGGAGGAACAAGATGACTCCCTCTGTTCCTGTTCTGAGTCAGATGGAGAGGAAGCGAGTGACGAAGAAGTAGAGAACAGAACTAGAGGAATAAAAGATGTAAGCTTCAGGCCCACAGCTCAGATGCACTCAACCCAGGCAGTCATTATAAAAAACATTTCACCCCGCCCCTTGCTCCGCCCCCCACGCTGTCTGAGACGAAACTCCTCCCACCTCCTTCCAGCAGACTCTGTGTTTCGGAGCAGTGAAACAGGTTATGGAGTTTATGGTCGATATAATCGAAGAAGGTCAAGTCAAGTTCACTGGACTTTAAATAAGTCGATCCAGACTTCCACAACCAGCCCCAGTCTGGGTCAGCTGGCCTCAGCAGGTCTGAGCTCCGAGCTTGGGGCTGTGGAAACAGATGTGGCCTCCTCTGGGTCTACACTCCATAAAAGTTGTTCTTCACCGCTGGGGGGACCAGAGGGAACCATATACTATGATCCTTACCTGGATACATGGGAGAACTTCCTATCGTATGTAACACACACTCACACACACTCGCAGGATAACATAGTGTATTTGTATTTGTACTGGTCCTTTTTTTGTAGGCAAGACTTAATTCTATGTTTGAACTAATACTAAAAACGGCTGCCAAATAGATTGTTTCTGCATAATTTGAGTGTGAATGTTCTTGCAACACATACAGAGATTTTCGTGATATCTAGCTAGATGTACTCACAGTCCATCCATGTGAGAAAGCTTTTTTGTTTAACAGTGTCTGTCCTTACCTTAAGTCGGCACAGGATTTTCATCAGCCACTCCTTTTTACCCATTGGTCCGTAAAGCTGCTCAAAAGTTTCATACTTAGGTGACAGGATGACAGTGAAAACTCATTCTCAAACTCAACTTAGTTTTGTGTTCATATCAGTAGTCCCTTGAGGATGATTTTGTATCACAAAGTATCTGTCAACCCAGATTTCTGTTTGTTGGCTATTTTCATATACCACATTATGCCTTTGCCTTGGTGTCGCCTTCAGGCAAAAATGTTGCTGTAGCAAGATATCTCATAATCTAGGAGGCAGATGTGTAGCCGTGAAGCTTCCTTTGTACATTTAAGCTCCAAGGTGATGAATCTTGGATCTTACTAGTGCTGTCAAAACTGGCCAAGAATGCCATTTGATTGTTATTGCTGCACTATCGCTGCACTCAACCTCCTTTATTTGGCATCTATGGGTGTCTATATGGGTCCGTGTATCTTTTGGTCATTAGATTTTCCTTTCAGAAACGGGCATTAAAAAACAGAAAACGAGTAGTTATTTGATTTTCGTTTTAAAATACAAAAATTTAAATTGAAATACAAGGCGTTTTTCTTTTTCATGGTCAGAAAGGGATGAGCGAAATTAAAAAAATGATTCGATTTTCATTTTCTATTTCATATAACAAAAAATAAAATTGCTAGAAAACAGAAATGAAAAAAATCCCTGTTTATTCATATTCTGAGACCGGATGCTGTCATTTACAGGACGGTGCTGTGTAGAAGAAACAGTAGGCTAGGGTTAGGGTTCAAGCCAGCCGTTGTTTTTTACAGTAGCTCAAATATGCTCAAATATGCTCAAATATGCCACTTGGAGGTACAAATATGGATGACTTTTATTGTCTAATTTCTCCACATTGGTACAGTAAAAATGCTTGATATTAAGCATGCTTGTAGTCTTAGATGTGTAGAAGTAAGATATACCATCCATGGCCAGGAATTATTGAGTAATATGTTTTTACAGTAGCTCAAATATATGAAAATACCATTTGGAGGTACAAATATGGACTTTTATTGTTGAATTTCTCCAAATTGGTACAGTAAAAATACTTGATATTAAGTATGTTTGTAGTCTCATATGTGTAAAAGTCAAATATACCATCAGTAGCCAGGAAACACTGAGCAGTATGTTTTTACAGTACCTCAAATATGGTCAAATATGCAATCTCTGGAGGCATAAATATGAGACTTTTATTTTGGCATTTCTCCACACTGGTGCAGTAAAGATACTTGATATAAAGTATTTTTTTATTCACCAGGGGCGCATGAAACACTTTAATGTAACATATTTTAATATAGCTTACGGCTCTAAATACCTTTATTTTGAAAACCGGAAGTAAATACGCTGTTTCTCCACATTTACCATAATGCTGAGAATACTTGTACACTCTAAATTTAAGTGCGGCTGATTTGACCACGGAGATCAAACTCACGGCTGGATTGACCGCAGTCTACTAGCCTACTGTTTCTTCTACACAGCACGGTCCTGTAAATGACAACATCCGGTCTCAGAATATGAAAAAACAGGCCTTTTTTCCGTTTCTGTTTTCTAGTGATTTTATTTTTTGTTATATGAAATAGAAAATTAAAATCGAATAATTTTTTACATTTCGCTCATCCCTTTCTGACCATGAAAAAGAAAAACGCCTAGTATTTCAATTTTAATCTTTGTATTTTAAAACGAAAATCAAATAACCACTTGTTTTCTGTTTTTTAATACCCGTTTCTGAAAGGAAAATCGAATGACCAAAAGATACACAGACCTATATGGGACAGGCATTTAATTCCTTCTGCACAAATTTCTTGCTCAGCAAAGATGGCAAATACTATTAAATTATTTAATAGATTATATAATATTAATTATTTGATAAAATAAAGAATATGAATATTACTTACTATGAAAAATTCAGTTATGATCCATTTATTTGATCATTTGATACTTTGATACAGTTGACTTGTGTAGAGTCTAACTGATGTCATGATGTGTAGCATGTCCAAATTGACAAAAGTTTAAACAATTATTATTTAGGTGATCTAAGCAGCTTTCAACTGAAGTTTCATGGTAACTATGCAGTCTATCAAAAGACATGACCTTCTATAACCCTGACGTGCTACAGTCAGCATATCATTTCCAGTCACCAGTGGTGCTGTGTTGCTGGTAGTATATTTTTACTGCTCTAGATCGAATTATTCATTACAGTGGCTAATTACCCAAGCTATACATTTAAACTTTGGCATTAGTTTTGCTCAAGTACACATAGTTTTCTCCTTTTAGCAACTTTGTCGCTAATCTCTAGTGAGTTCAGTACTTTAGCCTAGCAGTTAGCGATGGCTTCTCTACTTCCCTCTCTCTGCTCTCAGTTGCTCAGTGTGTCAAACTTTTAGCTTTTCATGCTATACATGGAAGCTAAATCGTTAGATGCTGTAGTTATCCAGCCCACATTTGCCAATGTAGCTCCTGTTATACAGTGGATATAAAAAGTCTACACACCCCTGTTAAAATGCCAGGTTTTTGTGATGTAAAAAAAAAGAGACAAAGATAAATCATGTCCAAACTTTTTCCACCTTTAATGTGACCTATAATGTGAACAATTAAATTGAAAAACAAACATCATTTTTCATCACAAAAACCTGGCATTTTAACAGGGGTGTGTAGACTTCTTATATCCACTGTAATCCCGCTATTTAATTATTTCCAAACAGCCTTTTTAGATTGCTAAAACAGTAAACTCTCTCTGCGGCTGAGTTGGGCTGTGAACTCTCTGCCATCTTTACCACATAGTTGTAGTTGAATTATTTGCTTGTTTCAGCTAGACTAACATTTCAATTTCAGTCAGAGAAAGTGGTGTCGCGTCATACAGTGCAATCAGCACTGATGCTTTTTTGCCCCTACAATGGAATGTTAATTTTCACAGTCAAATGTTGTTGTTTTTTGCAATTGGATTATATAATTGACTTTATAATGCTCATTGACAGTCCTAGATCTTAATGACCTTTAGCTAATGGGTGTTGTAACAGATGACCAGGAGTGCTGCAGGATTTGTACTTTTCCATTCCTCATATTAATTCATGTCAAAAAGTGATAAACATCAACATAATTCATATTAAAAATCCTTTAAAATATAGAGTTTTGCTGCTAGCATTTGTGTATTGTCAGGGCAATGTCACAATAATGTTCACAATAAAAAGATGTTAAACAAATGCTCAGCCCTCTCAGCCCAGTGAAAGCTACTGGAGTAGTTGCTATTTGTTGATTAGGGTTACTAACTTTCCCACACCAAAAGCTATACTTTATTTTCTGTCTACTGTATAGAATATGACTTTATTGCAGCACTGTAGCTTCTGTTTAATGATCTCATACAGTGGTATTTGTTTTACTTGTGACTAACTGCCACAAGTAACTAAAATCCTTTCCAAACACAATATTGACATACAACTTAACTTCATTTTTCATCCTTTTATTCTAAAGGCCCAAAACTTATTATATTTTGGTGGTCTGGATTTAGGAGGAACGCAACCACTTTAACATGTGTGGATGTACTGATAGATATCCATATTCATAACTATTCCATCTGAGGTCCCATCCTCAAAAAAATCTGATACAAACATATACAGATCATGCTGACATAAGTTTTCCAACTTAATATGTGATATTCCACAAGGCATGAGAAGAGAAACCTGCAGTTTATTTATACAATGTACTTTCTTTTTAATACACATCCCTTAGCAGGAAAGTGAGATATAAGTGCGACACAGCCCAAAATATAAATTTTAATGTTTAATTTTTCATTCATTTCATTTGAATTGTTGTCAACTGTTGACTTTAGAAAACGTCCTTTAAAAGACATGAATGAGCTTAACAAAAGGAGACGGCCATTCACTTTTTGTTATATTTTGTTATGCTGATATGTTAGTGGAAGTAATGTTATGTTTTCAAATAGTTGCAGTTTAATTTCAGTCAGAAACACTCAAATCTATATTATTAACTGTATTAAAATTTTCTTGCGTCTTTGAATTTTATTGTGAAGGAGAAAATAGGAGCATTCACTATTTTTTGTTTTTTTGTGTTTCCAGGAAAGCAATTGCCAAGTCTGGCCTGCACCATCTGCCATGTCAGCCCAGTACATCATCTCTGACCGACCCAGAAGCAAACATCCGCAGTACTGTGGACTGGACTGTGAGTTTGGGTATCACTATGACACAACAGGGGTCTGAAACAACACACACACATGTTACTGTTACTAATACCACACAAGAAAACACACTTCCTGTGTGTTATTGCTATCATACCACAAGATTTGTTCCTCACATTTCTGTTGAGCTGTTGAGAGTACTGTGTCTCATAAAAGGGTTAGTGAGAAAGTTGATTTTAAAACAAAGATAAAAAATAATAATAGGAGTAAAGTTGGCTCTGACTGGCACAGCCTTGTACCAAGAATTTACTGTCAGTGGTTTTCACAATGATTTTACATCTTATTTATTATTTAATTTTCCTGTGACACGGAAAAACAAACACAAAACAGGGTGATTTTCTTCTGTTTCTGTCCTTCTCTGAGCCTCTTCTATGTCTCTGTGTGTCTGTCTCTGTAGGAGTCAGCTCTATATGGAGATCATATCTGGTTTGAGACCAACGTGTCTGGTGACTACTGTTATGTGGGAGAACAACACTGTATTGCCAGAGCACTGGTTAGTATTTCACTCATAATCATCTCCTTCTTTGTGTTCTTAACACTATTTTCGAGCCAATATATTGATTAGCCAATATTGGCCCATCTTAGTCATATCGGTGTTGTATCAGTATCAATATGCCGTCATATGAATATATGGTATATAATGCAAAATGAAATTAAAATTATAAATTGTGCTTTTGTACAGTAATCAGTAATAGCCAGTGATGGCTAGTGGTGATTTTGGGTGGGTGAGCTAACAAATGCATTACACTCAACAATACCTTACACAGCAGTAACTGCAGCAACAGAAGCATCACATCAAGTCACAGCAACAACAAGTGCTCCACGGCAAAACTGGGGAGACATACCCAAAAGAATGGCCTGATGCAGAGATGAAATCTCTCTGTATCTGTTTTCTCTCTCTCTCTCTGTCTCTCTCTCTCTCTCTCCTCTGTCATCAGCACATGCCAATTGCGCTACAACAACATTATAAAAAGTAACCAGCAACAATTTGCAACACCATGTTCCAAAAATAAAACTACAACAAATCTACTAAACCAAAGCAAAAATGGCCGGTACTGTAGAAGAGAGAGTTGTTTCAGAGCTTGGGCATACCTTATTTAAAAAGTAGCTCACATTGATGGCCTTTCTGTGATGCAAACAGGTTAATCACCATGTCATTAAAGTCCGGTGATTTTTGGATGAAGTCCCGCTCAATAGACAGCATAGCCAGTGTGTTTAGCCTGTCCTGTCCCATTGTACTCCGAAGAAAGGATTTGATCCTCTTCAGTGTACTGAAATACCTCTCTGACTCTGCAGATGTCAAGGGGGTTGTGATGGCGATTTGTGTTACTTTCAGTGTCACTGCGGACGTTAGGCCCGCAAAATCCACAATGCTGTACATCACCATCAGCTCATCTTTCAGTTTCTCCCTGCAGATCATTGGGTAATGTTCACATGCAATGTCCAGCTGCTTCTGGGGGAAAGTGTTCTTAAACAGCGGAAAGAGTTCAGGGTCAATCAGTTCGAAAGACACCAAGTGCCTGGCTTTCTCAAAGCGAGCCTTTGACTGCTCAATCATTATGTCACAGCACTGTGCGGCTATTGACACATTATCAGACCGCTGCATTCTGCGTGGCGTTGCAGCGGCTGCAGCTGTGTCCGCATCTGGATGTGGCTGATTGTCAACTGTGGTCAGCTTGTCCTTCAGGTCGGATATGGAGGACGAAATTCTCCAGGGCCTGTCTTGTTTTGACAGAGAATCTGTGGTATTAGATGTGTACTTTGCAACCTGTGTGTTTGACAGGTGATCGGCTAATTGACTGTCTAAGTAAGAGAACTGGATGACGAGGTCCAGAAAAACGCCCCGCTGGAGTGAAGTGGGAGATTCGTCAAAATTGAATACAGTCCACAATCCGTGATAGTGAATGCCTGTTTTTCTTTACCAGCTTGTTGTGTCTCTGTACAGCGATGCGGTGACTCTCATTAATCTGACAGGCGATGTTCACTTTACCCAGCAATGACAGCTTTATGCTATTTCCAATGTGACTCGTGCTGCATTCATGTTTCCTAATTTTGACGGATAAATGTTTCAAATTCACAATTTTTTGTTGGGTCCAAGCCGTGTCTCCTCCAAAAAGCAAACATGGGAAACAGAAAAGTGAATTCCTAGCTACACTTGCCATTAGCCAGTCCTTTCACTGAAACCACATAACACAAAAGTTACAATTTTGTCGTTTGTCCTTTTGTGTTATTTGTACATCGTTTGGATGATGTGTTCCCAATCTCTTTACTACGCTACTGTGCTTGGGCTGTAACAAATAAAGCCCATTCACAGGAATATCGTGGGTTTTTTTTCTGTCACTGTTTGGTGCTGTTCCTGCTCAAGGTTCCACCAAAATTTAAAACAATATGTTCTAAGGTTTTTAATAATAGTTTTTCATCTTTACTGTAAAGATAGCAAGGGATAGCCCTGTTAGCCCATATATACCAGCCGTCCCTGGTAATAGCCATAGATGTATGTAGTACACACTCTGCTCTAGCACCGTCATAAGTGATAAAGTGGTTAATTGGAGTGAAAAATAACAATTACTTTTTTTGTCATTGTTGGGCCAAATACAGGTGTATAGGTGACATTTGGCACAAGACATAGAGGAATATGTATATGTGATAAAAACACTTAAACATTGACTTCATGAGGACTTTAAAATGATTTAGCATGCTAATGTCTCCCCAGAGCTAAGATTGGATTGTTTCACTGATGTAGTATTCCCCACAGCTGTCACATGTGATGTGATGATGTCATTCAACCAGTCCTCTTCCCTGGGGTCAGGTGGGACTTGTTGTTTAATTTTGTCCTTATCGCATTTACATAAGCATGGACCTGTCATGGACCAGCCAGCAATTCTTGGGCTGCATCTGTACATTTACTAAAAAATAACACCTTATACACAGTCATGCTGTGGTTGTTCACCTCCAGCATCAAGACAGTCGGTGTCATCAAACACAATCATGTCATGTTATATTTTTATTCATGTCAGCGCATATCAAGGCCAGTCAAATGTATGGCCAGCCTGTCACATTACAAAAAAATTATCTTATGACCTATCGTTTCTGTTTCTAAGAGCATTTTACTTTTTGCAGGACAGGACTGACCCCCAGTGTTCAGAGATGGCATTACTGCCTTATATTTTGTTTATTCATAAATCACTCCTAGTTTATTATAGATTATAAAACAAATTACTAAATTACTGTTGGTCAGAATACAAGTTGTTTTACTTTTGTCCCTTGTTCCAGTGATTTTATGTTCGTGGTTGTTTTTCCACATTTCAAAACTGATCAAGCTCTCCCTCTTTCTTTTTCTAGCAAAAATCTGTCAGTCGAAGGAAGTGTGCTGCCTGTAAAATAGTCGCCCACACCATCTGTATCGAACAACTGGAAAAGGTAATTTCTCATGTATTTGACATACTTTTACCAAGCGGAGTAAAGAAGAGTATCCCAATGAGTTACCCTTTTAAATCTACCTTATGGAGACAAGAAACATAAAGACACAGGTGTAAAAAAAAAATTCAGTCATCACAGACAGATACAGCTGCGGGGGAGAAGATTAAATAAGGATATTTTATGAGGGACAAAATGGGATGGAGGCAAGAATAAAGAAGGATTAAACTTTCAGTCCTCATGAGTTTAAGATCAGGGAGAAGTGAAAAGAAGGATTACTTCCATCGTCCAGTTAGGATGGAAATCAAAAAATGGATTAAAGGATGGTTGCTTTTCAGCAGTTAACTGATAATTAATTTATTCTTTTTTTTAATTCATTTTCATTTGTGAAGCAGAGGACAGCACATTTGAACTGTCCCTCCTGTCTAACCTGCAGTTCCCCAGTTCTAGAGCCATTCTGCTGGATGCCACCCTGCCCCTCAATGACCCCAACTTTAGAGTGAGATATGCAAAGCATCTTCTTTCCCTCCTCTCTCCTTGTCTGTGACCTTCAATCTGACAGAAACACAGAGGTGGTGTCTGGACCTTGCTTCAATCAGTTAATCAAGAAGCCAGTGTTTCCCTTAGGATGACAGTGTATTTGGACCAAAGAATAATAAAGAATCTTTGTAGGTGGGGACAAATGTATGGGGGTCTGCTGCCCAAAAAGAAACCCACTGCAGTGTCTGGGAAACACGAAGTACATTTATTCTATAAAGGCAAGCAAGTTTGTGGATAATCCACTTTTAATGGTCCAGTGTGTAACATTTAGAATGATCTTCTTGCATATAATATTCATAGGTGTGTTTTCATTAGTGTATAACCACCTGAAAATAAGAGTATTGTATTTCGTTACCATAGAATGTTTTTATCCACAGAGGAAGCGGGTCCTTTTCTGTGGAGGCTGCCATGTTAAACCTACAGTATCCCAGAACAGACAAACCAAACACTGAGTTTCGTGGCCATTGTAGTTTCTCCTACTCCTACTGTAATCTGTAACTATACTACCAGATGTCACTAAATCCTACACACTGGACCTTTTAATTTGAGTAAATTGAAAAGTAATCTAATCCATTTCAGACACACATCATCTGAAAAACTCCTCTTTTGTTCCTGTAACATCAAAAAAGGGTAATTTTCTTCTCCTTAAATCACAGGGAATCTTCTGTCTCTTCATATCATTTTTTTTGTTGTTCAAAGTGGTATGATAAATCTGACAGGTTTGAAGGGGTTTGTGCTGTTAATTTCAAAGGGTAAGTAGATCACAGGGAGGGTGATACCAGGCTACTTTCATTGGATGTGGAGACAACAGCAAAGAGGAATCAGGATTGGTCACAAAGACAAAGCAAACATTGCTGACTGAAAATGTATATGGCTGTGTATGGCTGACAAAAACAACACAAGGTCTATTTACTAGCCACTTTCAACCACATCCCACTCTCTCTATCAGCTGATAGACTTTACTGTTGATGTGGAGTCATAAATGGGGGAGGCTGTTAACTCCTGGCTGTGTCTGAAATCTCTCCCTCATTCATTAACTACTTCCTATTGAATTATGAGTCATGAATTATCAACAGTTAGTGTCATCACTGAAAGCAACTGACTGCAGTTACACAATGCATTGCATAAATAAACTTCCAATAAAGGTTAAACACAATGGAGTCTGCAAAAACAGGTGAGCAGGTCTCGGTCGGAACCTTGGTCAACATTATCTCTTCCTGTTCTTGATATGCTAGTGCTAGGCTTGTCAAAATGTTTTGAAACTGGTTCAAAGATATATACAGCATATATCATATATCTTAAGTTAGCTAGCTAATGTTAGCAAAATGCTTGCTAACTAACTACCTAAATTACTGTGACTGTTAGTTTTCTTACGTGCTTTTATCCTTTAACCATCTTTGAACCATCTTTGTGAAGCAAAGTCAACATGGAAGTTTCTTTAACTTGCAGTCTTTCAATTGGCCACCAGGGGGCAGTTCCATGGGCTGTCAAAAAGAAGTCAGATTGTATTGAGCCTATGACAAAATTACCCTACAGTTTTCTAACATGCTTATGGTCTCAATCACTAATTTGAAGTCTTCTTCCATACAGCATGATGTTTATTTTGTAAATTATGGTCACATTTAGAGTAAAATAGACAATAAAGCAGGATATGTTTCACAAAACTCAGTCAAACTATGCATTGCTGATCAAGTATGAATCAAGATTCTGTTACTCCCGTGTCCGGATAGCTTACCTGGTGGAGCTGGCGCCCCATGTACCAAGACATTGTCCTTGTTGCAGTGGCTCAATGTTCGAATCAGAACTGTGGACCTTTGCAAGGCAATAAAAGACCAAAAATATATATTTTGGGGCTTTTATAGATTCTGTTACTGCATTGCCTATTTCTTGCCGAAAATGTTTTAAGAAACATTACTGTTCTGTTTATCTTTAATACGAGAAAGTGTGTATGAGGCCATGCAAGTGCCATTGCTTCTGGTGGTATCCTTCCTCAGGTCAAGGTGGCCCTGTTTTTTCTTTTCTGTGCACACTTCAAAATGGGGAATTGTGGAGCCTACTCTCGCTGCTACGAAGTCTGAACCTCTTTGGCCGAACTGCTTTTTTCTCTTAAATATGTACTAACTGCCAACCTGATCATTTAAAATCCTTCCAATCATGGCTCTACAGGTGTGTCCATGTTTTAATAGCTTTCTGTCGTTGAGCTTTTCTTATAACCTCTTACAGTAACCAGTGTGATTTCTGCAGCAAGTTAGAAGCCCAGTTATCATCTATGTATTTACACCTCTCTACTCTTGCTCTGTTCTTCTCCAGATTAATTTCAGGTGTAAACCGTCTTTCAGAGAAGCAGGCTCTAGGAACATTCGAGAGGTGAGTTCTGGAAATTTCTTTCTACAGATGTACATTGCTGCTGCTCTAGCTCGACTTCTGATATATCAGAAATATTGCAAGAGCTACAGCAATCCTCCCCTTGTTTTGACTGTGACTAATGTATGAGTGATGTTCTTCATACTAAAAACAACAGTCAATGATCCAACGTTCTAAAAAGTTGGCTAATTTAGGATGATCCTATTGGTTTCTCTGACGATTTATGTTGTTTGTGTGTGTTCAGCCCATTGTTGTGCGTCATCACTGGGTGCATCGGAGACGGCAAGAAGGCAAATGCAAACAATGTGGGAAGGTGGGTCCTAATTCTGGTAGTATTTTGCTATTGAGCAACAATTTATCAAGAATCATTTGAATGTTTGCATGTCATACAGTTTTTTTAACATTAGTAGGCTACACTAAAAACAAGTGTTATTGCTTGAGTACGCCTTTAAATACATATAAATTAAACTGGTAGTTTAATAGTAAAGCACAATAGAACCTTTGTTCCTGTTTTTTTGTGCAGGGCTTTCAGCAGAAGTTTGCTTTCCACAGTAAAGAGATTGTGGCCATCAGCTGCTCCTGGTGCAAACAGGCTGTGAGTATGTTTGGAGAAAGGACTAAGTTATACACTGGGACAAGACAATCATTTCACTTGACTTAAGGGATAAGTGTTTATGCATTTTGCAACTATTTCACCCTCCCTCTAACAATTTCTATTTTCCGGTGAGTATACATTAATGAAAACACACCTATGAATATTATATTCCATTTCTGCCAATAGTTCCTCCTAAATGTTAAACACTGGACCTTTAAGCTGAACTACCACAAAAAATCTTTTTATCTACAGTTCCCAATGAATAAATGTATTCTAATGGTGTTTTCACTCTTTAGTACCACAACAAGGTGTCTTGCTTCATGCTGCAGCAAATTGAGGAGGCTTGTCCAATAGGAGCTCACGCTGCCCTTATAGTTCCACCCACATGGATCATTCGGGTCCGACGCCATCAGGTAACACTGCTTTCAGTTGTTCTTAACCTGGTTTGTATTTATGGGAATCAGACATAGTATATTCTACAGTGCTCTTTTCACTCTTGACATGACAGTAACATGACGGGACATCACTGTGCTTATATATGAAGGACCAGTATGTGGAATTTAGTGGCATCCAGCATCAAAGTTATCAAAACACTTTTTCCCTCCCCCTCTGAAAACAATCTGCATCACATAATCCTCTCTGCTCATGAAATCAATCTGCAGCTGCTGTTTGTTTTGTGTCTTTAACAGTCATCTTTGAAGTCAAGTAAGAAAAAGAAGAGAACATCGTTCAAGAGGAAAAGCAGCAAGAAAGGAGCAGAGGTCAGTCCTGCACTATATTGTGACCCTCTAGAGCAGAAGTGTCAAACTTACGGCGGGATGACTTTGCTTAGTGTGAAAATTACAGAGAAGACAGAGTATTGAACATAGCAAAATGGTTTATTGAACTTTATTCACTGACAATGTAACTCACACTGTACGTTTACTGCTAGACCTGATAACTTATGGCTAACCTGTGTCTCTCTCTGCTCTGTTGGCGTTCACCGTCGCTTGCTCTACCACACACACACACACACACACACACACATAAAAACACACACACACAACACACACACATATATTACACTTGCACATCACGCACTGCTCTATTCCTTGAAGGAGCTACGCTACTCTTATAACACTCATTACTCAAAATGTCTTTGTCAAAAAGGAGAAGGTGGACACAGTGTAGAGTTTTCCCAGAAAAATGGACCAACTTCCATTTATTCACGGAGGTGATGGGAAACCTGTGTGCTTGGTGTGTTCGCAGCAAGTTTCAGTGCTGAAAAGTTTTGTGCATATTTGGGACCACCTACCTTTGTGAACAGCTTTTCTCTGTAATGAGCTTCAACAAATCAAAGTTGCGCTCAAGGCTCACACATAAAAATTTAAATGACATTCTGAGATTGGCTGCTACTCAGGATTTGATGCCTGATATTGATGGACTTGTAAAGGCTAAAAGATGCCAAGTTTTAGGAGCAAATTAAACAGTGAGTAAACCTTTTATTTATTTATTTATTTATTTATTTATTTATTTATTTATAGGGACAGAGCATGTTAATAAACATTGATATAAAAATAAAAGATGTAAACATGCTAAGATTTTACATTCATTTCCCCCCATAGCCAGGTAACAGAAACAGAAATATTTCACATGACAATATACAGATGCACATACAATACACAAGTAGAAAAGGAGAGAGTACATTATGCCAAGTTAAAAGTCGTTGCAGTTTTGATTTCTCCACAAGGTCTTTGTTAATTTGATTAAAATTATGTCACATTCTTTCTCCAAACATCAACTCTGTGTGCATCCTTTTCTGCTCATAGTCATAGAGGACATTTAGCTTGTCCACTCAATGTTTAGGGACACCAGCCTGTAGACCAGTCCCAGGTTAGACAGCCTGAATATACAATCTCTGCTATAGAGGATCTGATCAGATCATCTTCTTCTTTGACAGGAAGGACGTCAGTGGAAGCCGTTTATAATCCGACCCATCCCTTCACCACTGATGAAACCACTACTGGTTTTTGTCAACCCAAAGAGCGGAGGAAACCAGGTATTTGTGAACAAACCAGTAATCCTGGTCACAAACCAGCCCATCAGTCAGCCGATGGGTTGATGAACTAGTCAATGAACCAATCAACGCATCAGTTGGGAAACAAGGCAGCAAGTTAGTCAACTTATAATAAGTCTGGAAGCCAGTTATTCAGTCATGTGTTTCGGACCGTTACTCAGAGAGGTTTGGACTTGAATCACATGACTTGGACCCAAAAGCTCATGATTTCAGGGTCAACTTAACAAATCAAAAAGCTACTGAGACTGGATGTATACTTTGACATCAGTGGGTAGAGATTTCATTTGGACATGGGCCTGTTCCTCAGCCTGAAGAAACATTACACTCCTTTTAATGTAGAACACACAACCACATGATCAGGACTTAAAGTGTGTAGGATTTTTTTAGTTAAGTTACTCCCTAGTCTTCCAACATCCTATTGGTCTCTCTGTCTGACAGGGCACAAAGATACTGCAGTCCTTCATGTGGTATCTGAACCCCAGACAGGTGTTTGACCTGAGCCAAGGAGGACCAAAGGAGGGGTAGGTCTCTCTCTCTCTCTCTCTCTCTCTCTCTATAATTAGTTTTTCTAATTTCTTTGTATTTTGGACAACTTGTGAGAAAATTAATTTCAGTTTCAACTTCTCCTGTGTCACAATGGGTACATATTACACACAAGTCACGGTTCGGTACGTACCTTGGTATGGGGGTCACGGTTCGGTACGGGTTTGGTACAACGGGCAAAAAAATGTAAAAATCACATATAAAAGACTAGCTTTTTAAATGTGTTATGATTATTGTAATAAAACATTATGAATATTTGTGACCATTTATACCTATAATTATTAATTGCACAGAATAATGCAAATATATTATAATGCATTATACACATGGGCATCAAATAAATTGTGTGCATTGGTGTTATGTATTTTATTAATACATGATAACGCAGTGATATTATCTTTTATAGTAAATACTAGAATATTTTCACAAAAAATATTATTTCTCATTTTATTGTCAGCTTTGGCTATAGATGATAGAAATACGTTGGTTCATGCTATTTGTCCATATTGAAATGAATAGTTTTATCTGCTCTAATTTAGAGCAGATAAAACTATTGTTTGTGGCAGGGACCACAGACTGGCTGATGAGCGCACGGGATGGGACACTGTAGCGTGGGTCAAGCAATAAATACTTGAAGCCGGGCTCCTCTACTATGGCATATGGGCGCATAGATGTTGATATGTATACGCCAATTGCTGCTGTGATGTTTTTGGCCCTGTCAGTGTTAATGTCAAGAAATGGCTTAAAAGCAGCGGGGATAAGTTGTTGCACCAAAGACGTTTTTTTCCTCACACCAGTGACAGATATGTCGGGGTGATGCCATCTTATGTGGGTTAGCATGTTTGAGGTGTTGCCAGCAACATACGTGAAACATCGCCGGCAGAAAGTCTTTGTCCGGTCCACCACTCGCGTGTCATCACCATTATATTGTTCTAGGAAGCCAAAGTGCTCCAAACAGCTGATTTAAATGAAGCCGGTGGCTCCTCCAACTCCACACTTTGGCTGCGTTTCATTAGTCGTTCAACACGCCCTCGTTCACCTGCCCTCTGCACTTGCCCTCGGGGGAATCCCCGTCGCCATCATAAGTGTCGTTCCAATTGTCTGGAAAACTGAAGTGAACTTGGTGAGAAGGACCCTCGGAGGGCTGAGGGAGCGAGTGAACAACGGTGGTCACTCCGAGGTGGATATCACCCACAATGCATTGCAGTTTACGTCATTGCCGCTATAACGCCGTGTAAGGGCAAGTGCGTTTCATTTAAATCCCCCGCTCCTCCCCCACCCACTTTCCCTCCGCGCTCCAAGTGGCCTCCGTGCGACGTATGCTGTTACGTCATACCAAGGGCTGAGGGGAAGTGAACGAGGGGAAGTGGAACTACTAATGAAACGCAGCCTTCCCATCACTTTTCTTCTTCGTCCTTTTTTGTAACTACTTCTTCTTCTTCTGTAATGACTGTTTCTGGCAGCTTTTAGGCTCATTACCGCCACCTGGATTAAAGTGAGGACTCGACTTTTTTTTAAACTCACTCAGACGTATTCGTATGACTGCGTGCACCGAACCGTGACGCCCGTACCGTGACGGTTCGGGACGAATACAAATACCGTTACACCCCTAGTACATATGCATTTTGTTCTTTCTAGCCATTCTTTTTGAGTCCCAGTGCTTTTGTTTAATTAATGGGCCACAAACTTCACTTCCATATAAAAGTATTTGTTCAATAACATTTTGGAATATTTTAAGCCAAATCTTTACTTATATTGTAATGAGCTCTAAAAGCTTTATCTGCCATTGCATTTACAGCCTTAGTAAAATTTCCTGAAGCAGTGATACACACACACACACACACACACACACACACACACACACACACACACACACACACACACACACACACACACCAACAACAGTGAATCAGTGAACAGCTACTGGTGATGTCCGATTTGTTTGGCTGAATTGACGATTAACTTGTGTCAATCTTGTAGCCTGGAGTTGTATCGTAAAGTCCATAACTTGAGGATTCTAGCCTGTGGAGGAGACGGCACTGTAAGTAGTACGCACACAAACATACACCATTAGCATACACATCGATGTATAGTAAGGACTGTTTTTGCAAAGTATAACACTTAATATTCACCTTTATATACAGTACTGTGCAAAAGTTTTAGGCAGGTGTGAAAGAATGCTTTCAAAAATATTTATTTTTATGAATTTACAAAATTCAAAGTGAGCAAACAAAAGAAAAATCTATTCTTGGGGTTTCTACCCTTTCCCTTCAAACCGATCGGTTCTTATAGGTACACTTGCACAAAGTCAGGGATTTTGTAGGATTATAGTCAGGTGTATGATCAACCAATTATACCAAACAGGTGCTAATGATCATCAATTTCACATGTAGGTTGAAACACAGTCATTAACTGAAACAGAAACAGCTGTGTAGGAGGCTTAAAACTGGATGAGGAACAACCAAACTCTGCTACCAAGGTGAGGTTGTGGAAGACAGTTTCATGTCACAGGTCATACACCATGGCAAGGCTGAGCACAGTAACAAGACACAAGGTAGTTGTACTGCATCAGCAAGGTGGGACCCAAGTACACCCATCTACTGTCCGGAAAAGTCTGGCCAGAGGTGGTCTTCATGGAAGAGTTGCAGCCAAAAAGCCATACCTCCGACATGTAAACAAGGCCAAGCGACTCAACTATGCACGAAAACATAGGAACTGTCAGCAGGTGCTCTGCACTGACGAGTCAAATTTTTGAATATTTTGCTTTAGCAGAAGACCGTTTGTTTGCCGAAGGGCTGGAGATTGGTTCAATAATGAGTGTCTGCAGGCAACAGTGAAGCATGGTGGAGGTTCCTTGCAAGTTTGTGGCTGCATTTCTGCAAATGGAGTTGGAGCTTTGTTCAGTATTAATGGTGTCCTCAATGCTGAGAAATACAGGCAGATACTTATCCATCATGCAATACCATCATTGACTACCCCCAAATTTGTTCTGTATATATTTTTGTTAATTGATTAAAATAAACTATTCAATTTTTGACAGCATTCTTAGTTCACAGCATTTTTTCGCACCTGCCTAAACCTTTTTACACAAATATAAACTTCAGACACAAAATAGATGTGATAGTAGACCAAAAACTGTAGTGAAACATAAAATTATCAAAAGATAACTAAAACAATCAAAAAGGGCCAATAAACTGATGTGGTGATGTGAGTGTTGAAAGATCATTTTAAATTTAAAACATGAATATTTACTGGGAGGCAATTTAAAAAGATTAAAGCAGATGCTGTTACAAACTGCTGAACTCAAATATGACAACAGTAACTTTCTCTGTATGAGTGAAGACAAGATGTGCTTCATCGAAGATATAATTCAGAAATATAAGAATCTATTGTTATGACTAAACAAGTTTAAAGCTGATAAATGCAACCAAGAGTCAAATGAAATGCCTAGTTTATAGCTACTGTATTTCTAGACAGTGAGCCTGTGGAATATGACTATATTTAAAGGTGCTGTAAGTGAAATTGGCATTTTGGCTAATTCTCTGGCCATTCTTGCAGTTAACATTCCCCTCCCTCCTCCCCACATCACCACACTGAAATTCTGCTGCCTGCCCTTGAGGACCGCCCCTGTGGAGTTCTCTATCTGATTGGATAAAGTGAACTCGGGATATCAGAAATTGTGTTCTCCGTTTACTGCAGAAAGTAGGGACTTATTTTAATGAAAAAATACATAATCTCAAAATATTGTCTGGATTTAAGGACTGTAGCAACCGATAATGTAATAATGGCCAATAATGTCATACCTGCCAATAACGTAATAATTTTGGCCATTTTAAATGTAATAAAGCCAATAACGTAATAACTTGCCAATAATGTAATAACGTTTTGGGGCCAATAATGTAATAACGTTTTGCCAATTATTTAATAAGTTATTAAGTTATTGGCTGGTTATTACGTTATTGGCACAGCATTAAAAAAATCCTTTGAAATGTAATAACTGCAGTCGATAATGTAATAATACATAAATAGGACTGCATTTCTTGGAAATGAAATATTTTTTTGTAGTTTTTGTGCAGTTTGCTCATCAAAAATAGATATAGTGGATGGCATAGTCATCATATTCATTCACCAAGGGTATGTATTATGCAGCACTCTCTCTCCTTAAATATATGTATATAATATAATTATAATGTAATAATATAATATAAAGGGTTTTACCTAAAATTGGAAGTTGTAAATACTTAATTGGTGGCATTCCAGGGGTTTGAGGGGATGTCAAACACATTTTTGGCATCATACTTTAAATATTGTCTTGTTCAATGGGGGATTTTTTTTTTTACACCATATCCTACAATGCGCGTTGATTATGCTCACATTATAGCCCATGTCAACACCTTTCTATAACAGTTGGTCTCATGTCTGTAACCCTTTTTGTCACATAATTATAAGCCTTCAAATATGCCCTGAGGTTAAGGTTCAAAGGTCAATATCTCAAAGCAGGAATAATATAGAACCTTCAAATTGATATATGTTACTCTCCAGGCCAAGACCTTTCCAGTGATGGCTTAAAACTACAACTCCCTAGACCCCTCTTCAGTACTTGTGCTGACATCAGCACCCCAGTTGTAGTTCCTCCGTTTTATGGTTGTGAAAACGTCTATCTACCCAATATATCAAATATCACACACTGTCTAATAAATAATTATACTGCATGTATATGATCTATAGCAAAGCGGACGGACCTCATCTCCATAGTAACGGCCAATGTTGCTACTTCCGCTATCAAAAATAACTTCATAACTGAAGGCATGATTATTAAAAGCGACATATTTGACGTCAATCTACTGTAGTGCTGCATTATAAAACAAAAATATCTTTAAGACAAGAGATATTTAATTTTCCACTATGTGGAATCTGGGGCCACAGCAATGCTAGGCGATAGCAGCGTCCATAGCAACCAAAACGTTTCAGTTTCACATCATTCTGGCGAGATCTGAAAAATCTTTGTAACAACGAACAAGCGAGTGATTATCTACATTCACTGAGTGAATATTAACTAACTCAAAATATTGATTTTTTCACTAAAAATGAGAGAAACGTCCGCCATGTTTTTTGTTCTCACGGCCGGGATCTTGAAAGTCATGTGACTTGGACGCAAAACAATATGAAAAGAATAGGCAGAAAAAATTTAACAGTCATACAATTTAAGGGCCATTATTGTAACCCCTCTACGTTTTTGCACTTTGGACCAACGTAGCCAGGGTACGTTTTTATATGAGACTGGGTTGCTTACAACCATATTTAAGGGGAGAGAGTGTTAGGTTATTGGCAGGTATTACATTATTGGCTGTTATTACATTATCGGTTGCTGCAAGGGACTGGTGCTTGTCCTACCATCAGCATAAAATAAGCCAGTGGTATCATCAAAATTAAAAACGGAATGAAACCCTGAGGAACCCAATGGGTAGGAAGTGGATATTAAGCTTTAATAGCCAAGCTTAATTGGAGATATGGATGGGTGGACACAGCCTTTTGTCTCTGTAAATACATATATATGTGTTGAACCAGGTGGGCTGGATCCTGTCTTGTCTTGATGAACTGGCATTACACCCTCAACCTCCTGTTGCTGTGTTACCACTTGGGACAGGCAATGACCTCGCCAGGACCCTCAACTGGGGAGGGGTGGGTACAAACACTGACAAACATACCCACACACAAATAAACTGTATGAGTAAATACAGATAGTTATGTTATCTGCTGTCGGAACTCTGAGCTACTGCTGGCTTCAACATTCAGTGAGCCCATGTCTGCTGTATTGAAGCTTATGCATCTTAAGAGATTTTTTCACTCTTCAAGTTTTATATTAACATGCGTATATTTGTATCTAAATGTTTTATGTAACTCTGCATGAACTCCAGGGCTATACAGATGAACCTCTGTCTAAGATCCTGTCCCATGTTGAGGATGGAACTGTTGTCCAGCTAGACAGATGGAATCTACAGGTTGAACCAAACCCCAATGCAGGGGCTGAACCGGATGAACAACAAACTGATAAGGTCAGTGAACTCACATGGAGCTAACCACCGTGAAAAAGGAATTCATATGTTCTCCATCATTAACCTCTCAAACTAAATGTAAAAGTTGACTCATAATTATGGTCTCAGATGGTCTCCATATTAATTAATGCGCACAGAAGAATTAAAAAATGTATAATGTGATTGATATATAAATGACTCTTTCCACAAAAATCTTTCAAGTTTCAATGTGCGGATGTAACGCCATCTAATCACATTAAATCATACCCTCAAATCTATGCTTGTGTGACTGACTGAAATGGAAGGAGACATCTGATAGGCTGCAGATGATGGTGTGTTTTCATGTTTTGTCTGTATGCTTTCAGCTTCCTCTAGATGTTTTCAACAATTACTTCAGTCTTGGATTTGATGCCCATGTGACTCTCGAGTTCCACGAGTCAAGAGGTACATTTATATGAATTATCACAATAATGAAAAACAAATGTTATTAGTATTGACTGCAAACATAATATACTATGTGAGAAGCTCCTTAATATTATTCACATTAATAAAACTTTGCTTTTTGATTTAATTTGTTATATGTATGTGTTTTGTTGATTTACTGTCTATCTGTGTGTCTGTCATTGTTTTAGAGGCCAACCCAGAGAAGTTTAACAGTCGTTTTAGGAATAAGATGTTCTATGCTGGGGTGAGTGCACCTCCATGTGTCTTTGTCTGTGTATTTTGACAAAATATGTTTGTTTGCTATCCAACCCACAATCAGACAAGAAGCATCATCATTTTAATCTCTGTCCAGTACACAGATGTAATTTATGGGCTGTATTTAACCTTGCTGAATAACAGGAAACTGTATATGTAGTGAAGACTAAGAGTTTCCTCCAAAGTAGTGTTCAAGACAGATAATGTACAGATAATGTTTATCACAGAAGCGAATGCAATGCATCATAGGATCAATGGAAAAAAACGAGAAGTGTGCATAAGTAGCCCTGTTAAAGTAATTATGTTATCAACTCATTGTACGATATATACAATACGTAATTATTGCCTGTCACAATATCGACTCATTGCTTAAGAATGTCTCCATCTTTAGCCTTCCCACTATGCTAAAATGTATTTGTAAGTAAGTGCAATTTTTATGAACAGAGCCCGAGAGTCCATTGTATTTATTGTTTTGGTTGTTTAGTGTTATTTATGTTCTATTTATTTAGGATATTTTATTATTTATGTGTGTTTATGTGTGAATTTGTGTCCGTCTGTGTGTGTCTCTCATACAGACAGCATTTTCAGATTTCCTGATGGGAAGCTCCAAAGACCTGTCTAAGCACATCAAAGTGGTGGTGAGTAGTTGTCAATCAAGCAGTCAGTCATTTGTGTGTAAACACTGAGTCACTCCATCTCTTTCTCTCTGTGTCTATCTCTTTCTCTCTTCTCTCTCTCTCTCTCTCTGTCTTTTTCTCTCTCTCTCTGTCTTTTTCTCTCTCTCTCTCTCTCTCTCTCTCTCTCTCTCTCTCTCTCTCTCTTCTCTCTCTTTCTCTCTTTCTCTCTTTCCCTCTCCCTCTCGGTCTCTGCCTCCAGTGTGACGGGACAGATTTAACATCAAAGGTTCAGGACTTGAAGCTGCAGTGTCTGGTCTTCCTCAACATCCCCAGGTGACATTACTGCTACTGTTGTTACTGATACTACCTTCTACCATGTCTACTGCTCAAGGCTAGAAGAAGTACTTAAATATTTTACTTAAGTAAAAGTTGCAGTACCACAGTGTGTAAATACTCTGTTAGAAGTAAATGTCTGGTATTCAGAAGTTGACTTGACCCCTAGGTTCCGAGGGACGCAATATACAAAATAGGCCTATATCTCAAAATGAGTTTAAAAAATGCAAAGGAAATTGTTAAGGAAATTGTCTAATAGAACAATTGCCAAGCGAAAACACTAAATTGTCAAAAAAAGAAGCCTAGCAATTCTGTATGATTGTTAAAATGACCACAAAATAAAACATATTACAGACACAGAATTGTATAAAAAGAAAAAGGAAATATTCTACACAAACTGCTCACTATTTGTGTTCATTGTACAGTTTTGAATATAATTTTCTGAACCACTCATTTTGGAGGATCTGACAGAAATGTAATATAATATACAAAGGAATGTTTTTAGTGTATAATCACCTGTAAATAAGAATCACTGTTTTCGTTACCTTAGAATGAGACGTTTTCATCTACAGGGGGAGTAGGTCCTCTTCTACTGAGGCCATGATGTTGAACCACCATGTTTCTATAGTAGTCCAGAACAGACAAACCAAACCAAACACTTGCTCTAGATAGGGTCTTTTGGCACCGTTGTCCTACACGTTTAGAAGGAAATTGGTATTCAGTTTCTACACTGCTAGATGCCACTAAATCCTACACACTGGTCTTTTAATGTGTTCACTTTAATGTTGCAGCTGTTAAAAGTTGAGCTCATTCTAATTACTTTATAAACTGACAGGTAACTTAGAATTAATAATAATGATAAATAAGAACAATTATTTTTTCTTAACCTGTAATTGTACTGTGTCCAATTTCTGTCCAATGATACAATATCCAGTAATAAGACAGCACAATTACTTGTACTGTATATTTTAAATATAAGAGCACATTACAACCTCCAACATGGAGGAAAATCCCAGTGTATGACCCTCAGGTCAGTTGAGTGAAAGTGCAGGACTGAAACCTTCGGTGGGCTGCTTTTAGCTTTTTGCTCCGAGCGGCTAGAACTGTCTGCCTGAGGATCTGAGAGTCATGCTTGTATAACAGGTTGCCGGTTCAGTGTCATGTAAACAATAATGCCTTTAACAGCTGTAATTAACAGGCATGCTGCTTTATCAAAAGTCAAACTTCAAAATAGAAATAGAAGATTGGTCTGGGGTTAGCACTATTAAATATCAGCTGATCAGAATATAGACTAACAAATCACAGATTGATCCTGTTCAATCTGACCACTGAGTAGACTGCAGAGGGCCCAAAGGAACATGTTCCAAAAATATGTAGAGCCCAGTTGCACGGTTGTGATTCAGTTATGATCTAGGGTCAGTGGAGTGGAAAACAAATTCAAAATGGAAGGTATTTGGGGCAGGTGTGGTGGTTACAATAGTATTCTCCACTGTCAAGCAGCACTGTGGGGATATTGACTAAATGGAAGTTTTAATAATTTCATTATCCTTCTTTTGTGGCAAAAACTTTCAATTTCAAATGTAAATAATAAATCTGGTCTCTAAATTATACCCTTTTTTAAAATCTCTGCTAAATTTGCCATTATTGAAGGAAAGAAGAAACAATATAACAATATAACAGATGACCCCAAACTTTTGAGTATGTTTATTAGGAGAATTGGGTCTCTTAGCAGAATCCTTATTGCGCTCTGATTCATTGAGCGTTCTTCAAACAGCAGAGCCTTTTCAGTAGAAACAGTTATTATAAATGTCCGTTTATTGACGTCTCTGATTTAACGCGCATGGTGTTCTACAGGTATTGTGCAGGCACTACACCTTGGGGAAACCCCAGTGAACATCACGACTTTGAACCTCAGCGCCATGATGATGGATACATTGAGGTCATTGGATTCACTATGACTTCACTGGTATGTAGCTCACTGTGTCCTGGTAGCCATGGTTACAAGCTGAGAGTCTGTTCTACTGTTAATATGAAGGTAATCTTACCAGGTTTGTGAAGAAAAGTGGTAGTAGGCTATAAATAATAATAATAAATACTATAAATATACGTCACTTTTCTCATTTAAATGTATGTAATTTCTGCCGCTAGGGGGTACCTAGTAGTAGCGTGGGATCATGGGAGTGGTCGTCTTCAATTCACCACCACTAAATAATTTTATTTTATCCCAATTCATAACAGAAGTTATCTAGACACTTTTCAAATAGAGCTGGTTAAGATTCCCTTACGTTCTTAAGGGAAGGTTCAGAGGTTCTACCAGGAGCCAAATTATTTGCAGAGGTCTCCTTCTCTCCAAAACAAAACGACCCAGTGATTAAAACTGTTAAAGTTTATAGTAAAAATGTGACTTAAAACTGGTTAAAAAAGTAAATTTATAACAGTTTCTGGCAGACTGTCATAATGCTAACGCATGCGGACAGGGGATATAAGGCCACCTGAATAAAATTACAGATTTCTCTGGGTTTGATTCTTTGGGATTGTGATTATTATTGGAGCACAGAGCAAAATGGGGTGGGACTTAGAAAGGGTCAATTGGACCCAGCAATTGAAAACTACCATTATGATTTAAAAGCCATAGTTTATAAAAAAGAAAAAATTAAAAAAGTATTTAATTAAGTAATAGCTAGAGTAATGACTAATTGCTAAGTGGAATTGTGTGCATGTGTGTGTAGGCTACTCTTCAGGTCGGAGGTCATGGTGAGAGGTTGAACCAGTGCAGAGAAGTCACCCTCACCACTACCAAACCTCTCCCAGTACAGGTACATACAACACATAACTGTACACCTATACACCTTACTGAACTATTTCACTGAACATTCATATTGTTAAAGATGATTCCTATTTATACAATTAGAAAATTCAAACACAGTGCATCCACTGAAGCATGGTATTATAGTGAATGATTGGTTGATTTGTATTATTATTGTTAGGTGGATGGTGAACCATGCAGACTTGCTCCTTCTGTCATCCACATCAGCCTCAGAAACCAGGCAAACTTGGTTCAAAAGACCAAACGACGGACCTCACTACCACACCTCAATGAGTAAGTTTCACACGCAAGCTTTATTTTAAAAGTGTAACTGGACATTCATAATTGCCGATGTGAACAATTTCCCTTACGGGATTAATAAAGTATATCTTCTTCTATGGAATGAGCACCTGGTGAAAACATGACACAGCTTAGGTTAGGCAAAACGTGACACTGCCACTGTGGAGCGGCGTGTTTGTTACACGCTCTGGTGTGATCAGAATCAGAATCAGAATCAGAATCAGAAATACTTTATTGATCCCCGATTTGTTCGCTACAGTTGTTCCACTCATACAATGTTAAAGAATAGTACATATATACAATATCTAACACAATATATAGAATATGAATTAATTTATAGATGTATACATATAGAAAAAAGTAAAAAAGAAAAATGGAAAAAGAAATATAATAATTCAATTCAATTCAATTCAATTTTATTTGTATAGCGCCAATTCATAACAGAAGTTATCTCAGGACACTTTTCAAATAGAGCAGGTCTAGACCGAACTCTTTAACATTAATTACAGAGACCCAACAGTACCACCATGAGCAAGCACTTGGCGACAAGGGCAAGGAAAAACTGCCTGTTAAAAGGCAGAAACCTAGGACAGATCCTCCGGCTCTAGGTGGGTGGTCGTCTGTCTCGACCAGTTGGGGTGAGAGAGAGAGAGAGAGAGAGAGAGAGAGAGAGAGAGAGACAGACAGACAGACAGGTGCACAGCAACAACAGTATTGGCAATGGCAGTCAAGCAGGACCATGGCAGGAGGCTCCACCAGGATCCATGAGAACCTGCGAGACGAGAAAGCACAAGAACTCCGGGGAAGAAGTGGAGTTAGTAACATGCATTAAAGGGACATGAATGAGTGCAGAAAGAGAGAGGAAGAGAGTAGCTCAGTGCACCATGGGAAATCCCCCCGATAGTCTAGGCCTATAGCAGCATAACTAAGGGATGGTTCAGGACTCACCTGTTCCAGCCCTAACTATAAGCTTTATCAAAGAGGAATGTCTCAAGCCTACTCTTGAATGTGGTGAGGGTGTCTGCCTCCCGAACCACAACTGGAAGCTGGTTCCACAGGAGAGGAGCTTGGTAACTGAAGGCTCTGGCTCCTGTTCTACTTTTTAGAGACTATAGGAACCACAAGTAGCCCAGCATTCAGAGAACGTAGTGTTCTAGTGGGGTAATAGGGTACTATGAGCTCTTTAAGATATGAAGGGGCCTGACCATGAAGAGCTTTATAGGTGAGGAGGAGGATTTTAAATTCAATTCTACATTTTATAGGGAGCCAATGCAGAGTAGCTAGTACAGGAGAGATGTGATCTCTTTTTCTAGTTCCTGTCAGTACTCGTGCTGCAGCGTTCTGAATTAATTGGAGCGTTTTAATGGACTTATTGGGGCAACCTGATAATAAAGAGTTGCAGTAATCCAGCCTTGAAGTAACAAATGCATGGATTAGTTTTTCTGCATCTGTCTGTGATAGTATGTGTCTAATTTTTCTAATATTACGTAAATGAAAGAAGGCAGTCCTAGAGGTCTGCTTTATGTGGGAGTTAAATGACAAATCCTGATCAAAGATAACTCCAAGATTCCTGACAGTGGTGCTAGAGGCCAAGTTAATGCCATCTAGAGTGACTATATCTTTAGACAATGAGTCTCTAAGATTTTTGGGGCCAAGAACAAGAATTTCGTTTTTTTCTGAGTTTAACATCAGAAAATTGCAGGTCATCCAGGATTTTATGTCCTTAAGACATGTTTGTAATTTAGATAATTGATTAATTTCATTGGGTTTGATTGATAGATATAACTGCGTATCATCTGCATAACAGTGAAAGTTAATGGAGTGATTCCTAATAATGTTGCCTAAAGGGAGCATATATAAAGTAAATAGTATTGGTCCAAGTACAGAACCTTGTGGAACTCCATGACTAACTTTAGTATTTATGGAGGATTCATCGTTAACATGTACAAACTGAGAACGATCTGATAAGTATGACTTAAACCAGCTTAGGGCAGTTCCTTTAATGCCAATTTGATGCTCAAGTCTCTGTAAAAGAATATCATGGTCAATGGTGTCAAATGCAGCACTAAGATCTAATAATACAAGTACAGAGACAAGTCCATTGTCAGAAGCAGTCAGAAGGTCATTATTAACTTTAACCAGAGCTGTCTCTGTGCTATGATGAACTCTAAATCCTGACTGAAAATCCTCAAATAAACTATTGTTATGTAGAAAGTCACACAACTCTTTGGCGACTACTTTCTCCAGAATCTTAGAGAGGAACGGGAGGTTAGAAATCGGTCTATAGTTGGCTAAAACCCCTGGGTCAAGAGTGGGCTTTTTAAGAAGGGGTTTAATTACAGCTACTTTAAAGGACTGTGGTACATGTCCTGATAATAAAGAAAGATTAATCATATCCAGTAAAGAAGTGCCAATTAAGGGAACAACTTCTTTAAGCAGCCTAGTTGGGATCGTGTCTAATAGACAGGTTGATGGCTTCGATGAAGAAATGATTGAAGTTAACTGATGAAGATCGATAGCAGAAAAACAGTCTAAATATACATCTAAGTTTACATTGACAGAAGTCCCTGAACTTGGAGAGCCACTGATAACTATTGATGGCAGTTGGTGATTAATTTTTTTCTCTAATAGTAATAATTTTATTATAGAAGAAGCTCATGAAGCCATTGCTACTTAAGTTTATGGGGATATGTGGCTCGATAGAGCTGTGACTCTCTGTCAGCCTGGCTACAGTGCTGAAGAGGAACCTAGGGTTGTTCTTATTTTCTTCTATTAGTGCTGAGTAATAGGCTCCTCTGGCATTACGGAGGGCCTTTCTATAAATCTTAAGATCATCTTGCCAATTTGAGCGATATTCTGATAATTTGGAAGAGCGCCATTTCCTTTCAGATTTCCTAGCTATTTGCTTTAACTGGCGGGTTTGGTGGTTATACCAAGGTGCTAGTCTCCTATGTTTTAATAATTTCCTTTTATAGGAGCGATAGAGTCTAATGTTGATCGTAGTGAGCCTGTAGCACTATCGACAAGATTATCAATTTCAGAGGGACTAAAGTTGTTATAGGACTCTGTTAAATTCAGACATGGCATTGAATTAAACACTGAAGGAATCTCCTCCTTAAATTTAGCTACAGCACTGTCAGATAGACATCTGCTGTAGGAAGTTTTGCCTAATGGCTTATAATCTAATAGTATGAATTCAAAAGTTACTAAATAATGGTCAGATAGGAAAGGATTATGTGGGAAGACTATTAAATGTTCAATATCAATGCCATATGATAAAACAAGGTCAAGAGTGTGATTAAAACAATGAGTTGGTTTATTTACACTCTGACAGAAGCCAATTGAGTCTATTAATGATATAAATGCATTACTAAGGCTGTCATTGTCAACATCCACATGAATATTAAAATCACCTACAATAATTACTTTATCTGATTTAAAGACTAAACTTGATAGAAACTCTGAAAATTCAGATATAAAATCAGAGTACGGTCCAGGAGCGCGGTACACTATAACAAATAGAACTGGCTGCAGTGTTTTCCAGTTTGGGTGAGAAAGACTAAGAACAAGGCTTTCAAATGAATTATAATTTAGTTTAGGTTTAGGGTCCATTAAAACGCTCGAATCATATATAGCTGCTACTCCACCTCCTCGGCCTGTGCCTCGAGGAATGTGAGTATTAATATGACTGGGGGGGGTGGATTCATTTAGGCTAACATACTCCTCGTGGGACAACCAGGTCTCAGTAAGACAAAGTAAATCAATATCATAATCTGATATTAATTCATTCACTAAAACAGCTTTAGAGGACAGAGACCTGATATTTAACAGCCCACATTTCATTCTCTTATTTTGTGCTACTGAGGAGTTGGTTTTAATTTTTATTAGATTTTCATGTTTAACTCCTCTTGTTTTTATTTCTTTAAATAGTTTAGGTGGTCGGGGGACAGACACAGTCTCTATGGGGTTTTGGGTGGGTGACTGTTCGAAAGAAAGCGCAGAGAAGTGTGTAAGACAGCAGCTCTGCTTCCTGGTCCCAGAGCCTAAGAGATATAATAAGATAATAAAAGCCTACATACAAAGTAAATGTAAATCTAAACATAAGTGTAAACATATTCCACAGTATTGCTGACAGAAATTAAATAAATAGTAATGAGTTTTAAGATTGTGGTGTTGCAGAAGTTATAGATAATTACAAAGAATAACGATCAAGTGGATTGCAAGTTGACCTGGGATTTGCACCTTAATCGACTTATTGCACATTAACAGTACCAGTTTAATGACTAATGGCTCTGAGTTTTGACACTCTGAGGGAGGAGATAAAGAGTTTGATGGCCACAGGCAGGAATGACTTCCCGTGCCGCTCTGTGGTGCATCTAGGTGGAATGAGTCCTGCACTGAAATACCAGGTTGTACTCACACACACAGGCTTATACTCTTGATATATGTATATGTATGTGTGTGTGTGTGTGTGTGTATATATGTATATGCATATTAAAAGTGGTCTGGTCCTGTTTGTGTCTCAGTCAGCAGCCAGTTCCAGAGAGGCTGAGGATCAGGGTCAGCAGGATCAGCATGACTGACTATGAGGCTCTGCACTATGACAAGGATAAGCTACGACAAGCATGTAAGAAAACACGCATACACATTTGTAATTATTGCACATTGTTGACTGAAGACATTACATGTGTTATTTGTTGACAGAGTTATTACCAGATTTCAGGCAATTTTCTCATGAGAAAATATTGATAATACAACTGGTTACGAAGTTCAGACCAGTGCTTTTGCTCTGCCATGTTTAGAGGAAGTTGATTTGCTCAAAGCAGACATACGGTTTAATCAGTTATGATGAAAACTAGTGTATCTCAAGCCCAGTACTACTTTTTTGTAAATAAAAGTTCTTCACATATAAGGAAAAATACAAAAAAGACAGACATCTAGCCCAAATGCCATAGTTTTAGACACAAACCAGCGAAAACAATATATATATGTGTACTGGTATTTACTTGAATCGGAGTGTGTGTGTGTGTGTGTGTGTGTGTGTGTAATGTGTATATATGCATTACATTAAGGGGGCAGAGCGGGTCGTCCCATAATCGGAAGGTTGGTGGTTCGATCCCCGGCTCCTCCTGTCACATGTCGCAGTATCCTTGAGCAAGATACTGAACCCCAAATGTGTCTATGAATGTATTAATTTCTGTTCCATGGGCTTTGCCATCGCTGTGTGAATGTGTGTGAAAGGGCAAATGTGGCACGAGTGTATAAGCGCTTTGAATGGTCGGAAGACTAGCTATACAAGTACAGTCCATTTTACCATTTACCGTTAATGCACTCCCGTTGGTTTTTCTATCCTGCACATTGTACATCCCTGTACAGTTAAGATCTTTCTATCTTTATCTTTATTTATTTATATTCTAAAAAGTATTTTATTTTTTGTGTGGTTTTTATGCACCAAGGCAAATTCCCTGTACCTGTAAAAACTTAATTGGCAATACACCCGATTCTGATTCTGATATTGATTTCAACCATAACATGCAGCTCTAATTGTACATCCAATAATTTGCAGATCCAACAGTCTTATAAAGTCTTTTAACAATATTTTTTATAGTGCTTAGTGAGGGTACAGTCTTATCAGTGGATTTAGAGTCTGCAGTCTTCATTAGTACCACAAATTTTGGTTTCGATCAAATATTAGTAATAATAATTTGCCAATACTGATACACAGTCTTTTCATTATTAAAAGTGGATTATGCATTTTCATGTAAATGAGTTTATGTAGCGCTTTAAAAGTGCTCCATAATATAATTAAGCCATTTTTTCTTTCCACTGTTAATACTTTACATGCATGTTAAAACACAGGTTTAAAAGGCAAATTGCAATTTTTTTATTTTTTTTATTGTAAATTTAACTTGCAAACAAAACAAATTTCAAACATTTACTTGTGGTTTGAACATTTTTTTTATAAAAAAGCAAAGTGTAAATAACAATCATCAACAATTCTTCTGTCCTGGTGTGCAAACACGTATTGTATTGTTAAGATTCAAAATTGTTCCCTAAATTTACCAACTTTTTGCGCAAAGTGCCTGCCTGTCAGATAATGAAAAATAATGAATAATTAGGGATAGCATAAACATACATATACATATATATTTATTATTTATTATTATATTATTTTTTTAAATTAATTAAAAAAAATATTTCAGAAACTTCTGGTGGGCCAAAACAATGGGGTGGTTGTGGCTCATGTCGAAGTATCCTTGAGCAAGATACTGAACCCTGAATTGCTCCTGATGCTGTGCATCGGTGTGTGATTGTGTATGAAAGGGTAAATGTGGCACTAGTGTAAAAGAAGGAAGGAAGACTAGAAAGGCACTATACAAGTACAGGTCCATTTACCATTTACCAAACTGAACCTTATGGTGGGCCCCACTTTGGACAGCCCTGTCTTAGAATATTTGTTGTCAACCTTAACAGCCATCCTACTCACAGTTTGCATAATGTGAATTAGCTCCAAACGATACTTCTCTTAATTCACCCACATGTGTTTGTGTCAGTGTTGGATTATTAGTCCGGAGCGGGAAGTAGTGCCCTATGGGGAGCGTGTACAGGCAGTTCTACTCTTTGATAGAAAAGAGAAACTGATCCTGTTCTGGTATTGATTCTATTGACGATAAAACTGATCAATGTAGTAGCCTATCTGTAGTGTCAATATTTTGGGATCAACAAATCCATTAGCAAATGAGCAAAAAAAAAAAAAATGTAATTAATTTTTAATGATTTGGTTATGGCAGATCACATTTTCAACCAGCTGCTTTGGGCTTGTCAATATATGAACAAGATGTCTACCAGCAGGGCCAAGAAGCTGCGGGTTGATGTACTTAAATGACAGCAGCATCTTCAGGCTGAAGTGGGAAAAAAACTGCTTAATGATTAGAAGGTGGAACAGTGATTATTTCAGCTGTCTTCCCATCCTGCCTCACAGCCACTACTCTTCGCTCCTCACTTCTGCTGTGGTGCAGCTGTATGTGTGTGTCTGTGTTCACATGAAAATTTTATTTGATTTACATACTGCACACACACACACACACACGAAGACGGAGAAAAGAGCATCACCGATGTCTCAGGAATATAGGAAGGGAAAGCTCCTCTACCTGTCTCTCTCTCATTAGGAACAATTACACTCAGCTGGCTTTGCAGCACACTTGCAGTCAGTGAGTTCATGTTAATTCAGAGTTTTGACACAGGGTGGCGATGTTACCTTTTACAATATTCTAAGCAGCACACTTTATAATACTGAGCTCTATGTTGATGTAAATGTGGACATGGTTTTATTTGTCTGTACTGTTCTGTGTTTTGCGTATCATTTGTATGTACTGTGCAGGGACTTCAGCCTAAGCCATGGTGGAAATATGTATATGTATTTCATACTAACTCATATTAATAATTCAAGATCACTTTTTCCAATTTAATCCCAAAGAGTTTTTTTCTATTGGTTTTAGATGATCATCAATTTTTATATCTTATCCTTTGTTACTGCTATCTTAGTTTGAGTTGTTTTCTTATTATGTAAATCAATGCCTGCTCTCAACTTTAGAATGTGTCACACTTGGGGAGATGATAAAAATATGTTTCGTACCCTGAGGCACAGTGCTTATATCATTTCAATGGCATTTTTCTCACTGTGGCTGGGTGGAATACAGATTCCACCCTGAACATGGATTGAATATAGAGATTGTTTAATAGAAATTTGGATCGACCCTTCATAACTGCACTGGTACAGTTATGCAAGAACTATAAGGGACTTTGAACGGTTTAGTAATGATTCTGATCAAATTATATAGTTCATTGCTCATATAGCGGGTGACAAAATATTTTCTTTGTCCAACCAACAAGAGATTTAAGAGAATTTCAAGTCATTATTTTTGACAACAAAATTGCTGCTTCATTTTCAATCATGTTCCAAGTCATTCAGAAAAACGAAATAACAAGATAAAAATATGACATTTTCAATAATAAAGCCATTGAAATATCATTAGTTATAAATGCAGTAGTGGATTATAGTGAAATGTCCCTTAAAAGTAGGGTAATAAGATAGATAGATAGATAGATAGATAGATAGAATATAAATGTGAAAGTGTAGGATAATGTAAACTTATTGCACAAAGTTTCATATTGGCCTTTATGTAAGGGATCTCAAACTGCCAGCCTGGCCAATTCCAGCCCTCCATCCCCCTACCTCGAGAAGGGTCCAGCTGCGGCTTGGGCGTTCCCGTCATGACACAAGAACGCCTATTCATACTTTGCACATGGTTACCATGGATACCTGGCGGGCGAGAAACGCCGACTTCATCTGTCTATTATAGTTACATTTCGAGTGAAGTAACGTTAGATTTAATAGACGTAACTTAATTGAAGTCAGAAAACAATCACAGTGATCTTGATTTTGGATATGGACGTTTATTTAGTTTGACAAATTCCATACCAGGACTTGAATTACAGCGTGTTATATGTCAAATCACATGAGGAAATTATTGCCTTGGTTTTTCCGTTCAGTACGTAGTACGACGTTACGATGTACAACAGAATAAAAGCATTTATTTTGATGGGTGGGCCATGTTGCAAAACCTCGTAGATAATTACAACACCAGAACATTGAATTAAACAATGCAATTGTTGTCAGTTTTAATTTACTTGGGTGAAAGCAAGCGCAGCGCTGTTTCTCCGCCTTCGCTGAATGAATGCCAGGGGAAACACCGACGTCCTGGCAAGATCCTTGATTAACGTTAGTTTACTGGGTTTCGTTGCTGGAGAACGACGTTCTTGCCCGCTAGCCAGTAGTTGTGACGTCACGTGCAAAGTATGAGTTGTCCTCAACAACTCGTAGAAATATAGACTAGTCCTACACGTAAATGTAAGCATATTAAGATGTAATTGAACTAACGTTCTGTAGATGGCTTAGCTTGATAACGTTAGTTCTATAATACATTTACAGACTACTAGATCTTATTTTGAAACTTCTGTTGAGAAACACTAACTAGCGAATGTTATATTAAACCAGATGTTGACAGTTACAGTTCAGCAAGAAAGGCGAAGAAGAAGGGGGCGTTCCAGTCAGCGAAAACGGGAACCCCCACCAGCACAAGAACGCCCATTTGTGGCTGCAGTTGATATTGGCTACCTCCAGCCTGCGACATGATGTCAAAAAAAATTGTATTTACTATTTTTTCCTACTTTGTTGTTTCATATCAATTTAAACTACCCCTTCATAAAAAATTAAGATTAAAACACACAATTTTATTTTTAAAAATGTATTGTGTGTTTGGTTCAAAATAATGGCAAAGCTCAAAGGTGCTCGCAAATGTCTACAAATGCTTGATAAGAAAAGAACAGGTTTAGTTGTTTGACCTACACAAAGATGATCTAAAATTATCATATAAACATGTATAAAAAATTGCTGTTTGCATTTTTTTGTTGAGTATGATGTTAGTAATGGAAATATTTTCAGAATATTGCTTTTTCTTGTTGTACTTTTATGTTGACAAGGTCTTCCTATGGGATTGCAATGCTAGCAGTGGCAGCCCAAGCTAATTTGAATTTGAGACCCCTGCCTTATGTGAATGTAAACTCTACAAACAAACATATTTTTAAATGGCCTATTTCTGAGGAATGTGTTTGTGAGTTAGCAAAAAAGTGAACAGGCTACACTTCAAATCTGACTGGGTTTCAGTGAGTGAAGTTACCACTGCTTGTTCCCAGTTCAGTCTTCCTCATTGAGGTATTTAGTATCAATGAGAGGTGTGTGTGGGTTCAGGAGCTTCTTACTCGGTTTGCCTGCTCTTCCAGCACGATGAGCTGTGTGATGTTCAGCCAGCAGTGTTGGTGTTGGCGCAGCAGGCCTGCTCTGCCTCAGGGAGCAGTCTTTATTGTTTCAACGATTTACATTGGCTTACTGATGATGAGCCAGCTTGGTCATGCTCATTTAATAAAATAAAAGACATAAACATAAATGTGGCTCTGAATTTTAGTATCAGACATGACTTGTCCGATGTGGAGTTATTCAATATTGATGTAATTCTTGGATACTTGGCTGCACCACCTTTTGTCTCAACACTAGACAAATGTATCACCCACTATCTGGCTATATCGTGCTTTGTTTATATTCTGCACAGAAATTATGTTTACACTCATTTTCTTTGTTTTCTTTCTTCTTTCTTCTTTGTTTGTTTGTTTCTCTGTTACTTCAAAGTATCTTCCAATTTGCCTGGTCTCTTCTCTGAAAAGTAGACAACAGCTGCACAATCGATATTTGTATGTTCTTTTATCCACTGTGATCGTGTTTGGCAGTGGAGATGCCTTTGTTAGGTGTGTGTTAGTAAAATGCAGATTTCTGTGTCTTTCTTCAACTTGCTTATTGTTCATTATTAGCAAATCACTGTCATCGGGAACAAAAGACAGTTGTGCTTCCCAATCACCTTTTGTAGTGTTATGTTTAGTGTAATGTAGTGTTTGTTGTTGTAATACTTATTTTGGCCACAAGAGGCTGAATGGCAACCATATCCATGTTCTAAATAGGAATTTTAACTTCTCCATGTACTCTAAACACAAGGTACATATATTGTGAATTAGCAAGTTATGTAACATTTCTTTTGGCTAGAAATGTATTTAAACCGTTGCTAAACACTTGACCCTGAACAATATGCTCCTGGCAAGTTTTTTCACCTGCCAAAACGTATGTCATATATGGAAAAAAAATAGTAGCTTATCATATTTTTTCACCTGGCTAAGACCTTTTTTTCTAACTTGTTTCAAAGATGTAAAAAAAAAAAGGAAGGCAATTGGAAAGATTATCCTGAAAATGCTTTTTATTTCAACTTTTTTCATTTAAAAAACAACAACGTTTTAGATTATACTTGAAAAATAGATAAACAGAATTTTTATTTTCTCATTTTGCCTCTCAGGGAATCTTTCTATGTTCTCAGAAAGAATTCCAATATACTTTACAGCTTAGTCTCATCTCAAAACGGTGTCATATTTTTGTTGGTGGTTCCCAGCTTTGGTTCTCAGCACCCACAGTGCTCATGGTGTCCATGGTATGGTTGTCCATACTTCCTTATATTTAATTACCTTCATATGGAGTCTCAGGTCTATGTCTGTCACTGCTAGATGACCAGAATTAAAACAGCACTCACAGGGTCCTGAGGACTGTAGTTGAGGGCCACTGTATAAGTAGATATCAAAGTGTGTTGGATAATTGTCTTGGATAATTGTCTTGTTCCTCTGTATCTCCAGCCATTCCACTGGGACTGATTGTGGTTCCTGGTGACAGCGACTTAGAAACCTGCAGAGAACACATCCAGCGTTTGCAAGAGGTAAGAAGTGGGGACGGTGGTGGGGTGTCAAGCTGATTATGAGTTCCATATATGTGGCTGGTACTGTGGGAAGGGCTTGACTCACTCTGATTGGTTAAGCAAGTACATGCAAATTCCACTGTGCTGCTTCCCAATTTGAGTTGTCAAGCCTATAGACTGCTCTTCTCTCTATTCTCCTATGCTTTCACCTTCCTTTCTAGGACTTCTGCTCTGTCCATCACTCCTTCAAATGCATGGGAACCCAGGTTGGTAGTTTGCTGCCAAAGTTTGTATTGTGGTTTTGTTTGGCTCAGAGGCACACGGGAATAGAATATTAAACATTTTATCTGAAAATCTTACAGGCCTTGATTATCAGTCAGTCATTTCCTGTATGTTTCATTAACAATTAGTACAAACAAGCAAGCAGCACTTACTGAAAAATCATATCACACACACACACACACAGGAAGTATTTTGGCTGCCACCAGAATTAAATGTAATGTGTCAGTGGAAGAAAGCAAATGTAAGGAGATGAGAGCACTTTTGCAGGCACTGTAAGACCTTGTTAAGACCATTATGAATGCAATTTAAGATCTATTTAAGATCCATACTGGCAAAAAAAGAAGGGAAGGATATGTTTTGGTTTTGTTTTGTAGTTGTACGATCAATACATTAATTTTCCCCAAAAATACAAAGTGAAACTGAAAAAGGCAAACTTATAAAAGTCATGTTAACTTCATGAATCCAATACATTTTTAAAACCTACTGGATTTAAGACTTTTTAAGACCCCACAAACACCCTGATTTTGATAAATTAATCAAGTGAACAATTCACATTATGGTAGTAAATGTGTACACAAAAGTTATCATTTACACTAAAGCTACCAAACCCTTTGGCCATTCCATGCCTGTATGACTGCATTGCCGATGCTGTGATTGTGGTTGTGGCCATGGCTGTGCTTTGGTTGTTATAATTATGGCTGAGAAATTAGTTTATAATGGCCATAACAGTAACTACATGCAGGGGTTGTGTTTGTGCAGTGAACTGACGTGGTTTGCTGGCTGAGTGTAGTATTAAAGCTACTGTATTCCTGAACTCCTGTGGTGTATTGGTAACACATCTGTCATATCTGATAGAAACACAAGGCTTCCAACGCCAGTGTGTATTCACAATGCTTTCTTGGCTAATGTTAACAGGAGCAGTAAAGAATAGTCACAGTATAGCATGGCCAGATCCATAGTGTCATAGATTCAAATAAATAAATGCAAATAAACAATTCCCACCAAGACCCTTTGGTGAAATGTGTTTGGTGAAAGATTTAACGCTTCTTTCAAGATTTTACTGCCACATGCAAGGACACACTCCCAATAGCAATAAAGAAAAAGATTCAATTAGGAGGTAACAGACTGCTCCACCAATTTTGCTGCACTTCTTTTAGGTTCAAATTTGCTTAGTTTTAAAAAATCAAACCATCAGACTCACGAGTGAAGCTCCCTGTCTGAATCCAGTGAGGAATTTTGTTTGAAAGGTTACATCTGACACCAGTTCTGATCTGTGCCAGTGTGAGTGACTGACACCTGGAGTCTAGTTAAAGAGAGGTCTAAATGTTCCACCAATATGAAGTCATCCAACACACACACACACACACACACACACACACACACACACACACACACACACACACACACCACCAACACACACAAATATACACCATTCTAAACAAACACCCACACACATAAACAGAACAGATTCAGTACTCTAGGGGTTACAAAGTACAGAATGTGGTAATGCATTACACAACACAATAAGCACACACAGGTACACAAATAAAACCATGTTTTGAACAGGATCAGGAAAAAGAATCCTCTTAGTCATTTCAAATTCCACTTAGAATGAAGACGCTTTAGTCATCATTAAATCAATGCCACAGTGAGATGGAAATGTGAAGAGAAAATATACGATTTATTGGTAGATTTTCCAGAACACTTTCCAAAACCCTCTCATTATTACTCATTTACCTGATGTCATGTCTGATACATTTACTGCAAACAAAGTTTTAACATCTGTTACTGATGTGGCATGAGAGAATAATCTTTCTTCATGATATCATTAATTTACAACTCACTACTGCTCTGCAGTTCTGCTGGCAATTTGACAAGGAGGAAAAAATGGCTTTAGACCTTTGTCTTGTGTGTCAGATGCTAAATATCACATGAGGATTGCGGCTCTATCTATTACGGTCCTTTCATGTTTGAACAGTCATTATGGAACATCTCCCTAATGGAGACCTAAATGCCATTACTTCAACAGATAAATGAAACAGCAATGATACAGATTACTCGTCTGAACAGGGCTATATTCAGCCATACCCAATCCAGACAATGACGGGGAGAAAAGTAAAATGAAGAGTTTGTCTTTTGTACTTGTTGAAATTGAAATTATTCCACCTGTTTCTAGACATTAATGTCAGGTTGCTAAATAAACTAAAGCCCTAACTAAAAGAGCCACTACTAGGCACATGTTTCGTCATTCATTTAACCTCTTGGTCCAGCACGTCTGAGTGCATACACATCTCACACATAGTACAGTAACTACTTAGATCTTTATTTTTATTTATTGTTTGCTGTGCTGTAGGATTTGTATAAAAGCTTGTAAAACACACAAACTGTGAAGAAATATATTTCTTAAGTTATGTTTGAATAATCAGATAACCTCAGCTACTGTGTTTGTTTCAGCTCTTTGAATTAAAGTTCCAGAGTAGATCAGGCCCCAGCTTCAATCCAAGTATTGTATGTGTTTCATGGAACACCCGTTTTCATCCACAGCCATTTTGCTGCATTTTCTGCATTGTCTGTGATGGTCATGATGGTTCTCGCCCTTTGGAAACTGCACAAGCTTTAAAGCCCTGCAGAGGGACTAGGTGACAAAGCCTCTGCAATGAATTTCAATGGGTGTGCACTGTGCCTGCCATCCTGGGCTGCTGAAATCAGGTTTGTGTATTTGGCTCTCTTCCTCAAGAGGCCTCTTCCATCTAGTCTTCCCAAACAAAAGTTAATTCTAGAGGGAACTTCTTCCCCTAAGCTGTCTTCCTTGTAGAGTACACTTGTTTGCTTCTGACAATTCCTGCAGATGTTATTGCAGATCACATCTGCCCTTCCCCAAGGCTCTTCTGACAACAACTTTGCATATGATCCAGGAAACCTTTCTCTGGCACAGGGGCATGCTGGAGTTTTTGTCGGACTGCAGTGGAAGAGCTTGGATGGGCTTTAGAGGAAGTCCTTAGTGGACCACAAGGACTCCACTTTCCAGAGCAAAAAATCCTGTGGTTACCCACTTGTTCCCATCTGGTCCAAGTTCCCTTCTGCTGTTTCCACACTGCTGCCCAGGTTTAGGAGTGGTTTGAGGTTGTTGGAGGAAGTGATTAATCTTCCTGTTGAAGGCTGGAGATCAGCAGGGAGTATAGGAATTGTGTTACCACGTTGATAGACCGTGGCCCTTATTTCTCCTCGCAGCCCTGATCTATCCACCTCTGTCAGCCGTGACTTGAGGGTCCAGTTAAATACCTTGCCCAGACTCTTGTTTGGCTTCTCAGTGACTGACAGTATCATTGTTTCAACCATTCCTTTTGGAACACGTTTGTGAAGACCCTGGTGGTGCCATCTGCAAATCTGGGGACTGATGTCATTATCATCATCAAGTCATCCATGATGGCTCTGATGGGGGGCTGTTGAAGACCTTACTTGGTCAGGGGGCCTCTCTTCACTCCACTTCTGTTTACTTAAGGTGAACAGGATCACTCAAATGGTGCATCCGGTGATAATCCCCTTCTCTAGCCAATGCTGTATTGATTTTGTTGCAGAAGTGATGATCTTGCCACAGTGTTGAACTTGTGATGTTTTATCCAGCTTGTCTGGTGTAGAACCATAGGCATTTGCAAGAACAACAAGTTCTCCTCGATCTTCACTTCTCAGACACTTCTAAGCTAGGTGACAATAGTACAGTATCTGTCATCTACCACTGCTTTTAGAGTAGTAAAGGATGTTATTGTTGCCTGCAACAGAGCAGCAGCTGCATGTAATGGCTTTTATGTGGATCACTGTGTTACAAGATAAAACATTATGCACAGGAAACTTGACAAGACAGACTTTACGTTTCTCCTCATATGAAAGTTCAGCTTTAAAGGCCCCAGCATGGGTATAGATTTGTGGTGCTGGGCATTCATGTCTTTTCATGCTATATCATCTAGACAACTAAATTATTTATTATTATCCTAGTTGGAGAAGCCATCTTTTATCTACTGAAGATGTGCCCTTTTCATCATGCTCTATTGTCACACAGCTTTACGAAAAGTATGAGACAAGTAATGTGACAATGACAATGAGTTAGATTTAGATTCCTTATCACTCACACTTACAGTGCTGTGACAAAGTATTTGCCCCCTTTCTGATTTCTTAGTTTTTTGCATATTTGTCACACTTAAATGTTTCAGATCATCAAACTAATTTTAATATTAGACAAAGATAACCCGAGTGAATACAAAATGCAGGTTTTAAATGATGGCCCTATGTGAAAAAGTAATTGCCCCCTAAACCTAAAAACTGGTTGTGCCACCCTCGGCAGTAACAACTGCAATCAAGCGGCAATGAGTCTTTCACATCGCTATGGAGGAATTTTGGCCCACTCTTCGTTGGAGTTGTTTTAATTCAGCCAAATTGGAGGGTTTTCGAGCATGAACAGCCTGTTTAAGTATCATCTGGTCACCAACTGGTCGAGACAGACGACCACCCACCTAGAGCCGAAGGATCTGTCCTATTTTTCTGCCTTTTAACAGGCAGTTTTTCTTTGCCCTTGTCGCCAAGTGCTTGCTCATGGTGGTAGGGCTGGGCGATATGGACCAAAAGTCATATCCGGATATATTTAAGCTGAATATCGATATACGATATATATCCCGATATTTTGTTCGCAAAGTGAGAGCAAATGTTCAGTCTCTCTCTCTCTCTCGCTCTCTCTCTCTCTCTCTCTCTCTCTCTCTCTCTCACTCACTCACTCACTCACACACACACACACACACACACACACACACACACACACACACATACACAGACACAGACACACCTACACATATGTTGTGACCAGAAGTTAGGCTGCATTATAACTTTTAAATTAATATTTCCAGAAGGCAGTAAGGCTGTTACCACTCACCTAAACTGCTACCGTTATTACACAAGCAAGTACAATTACGTTAAAACAACATAACGTAAGTTA